ATACCATTACGATACAGTATTATATACGATGTGTTGGTGTCATTAGAAATGGTATACAGAACAAGAAACTGTATTAGAAGTGATGCCCTGATTTATCGGTGTCAAGATAAGCTGCAACAACATAGGTATATCCCATCACTAAGGTTTGGGTTTGTGCGAATCGAACCAGTTTGTAAAGCACATTTCAGACGCTTTGCACGTTTCTTCTAGCTCAACACAGAAAGTAAATAGCTCCAAGTTCATACGTCAGCTACAAGGTCATTTTTCAATTTTTGCTCACGATCATTGCCTCGTATGATATTTTAGTCGCCAACTAATTGTATCTGCTCAAAACGTATCACAGAAGGAGCCACAATTGCACGGTCAGCAGACCCTTAAGGACTATCAAATAGTACGGCCTTAATTTTTGTGTACGCACTAGTTCGATAACTTGCACCACGATCGGGCGCAGTCAAAATGATGTCAATATATAACGAAGTTTATTTTTTTTGCAGTCATAATTGCTCCAGGAGTATTGTGAAAAAATCACACAATGTTGAAAAATGCTGAAACGTTTTGGTCTGATTCGCTGATTGGACGAAAAGCTTTTCATACAGACTCTATAGAGCAGAGTATTGAAGTTTGGATTACTCTTATGTTACATAAATATTAACGATAATTGTATTTAAGCCTTTTCATAAAAAAAATGTCCGTGTTTTAAGAAATGCAAGGACTTAGAAACGGGTGATTGATCGTGCGAAAATTTCGTCCACAAAACATGTACGGAGGCTCTAGAAAGAATTTTGCTGGTGCTTACACCGCTGCCGCATTCCTCACTTCGCTCGCTAACCGCATCGCGTCCAAAATAACCATTTTCAGTGACGCCGTAAATCACTGCAATTTTTTTAATATTTCGTTAATACCCGTTTTACAATTTAAGAGTCAATTCTACCACCAAACGGTAGAAGCACTTGAGCCAAAGTATGAGTTTGTAAGCTGTGCATCCAAGTATTAAGCTTGAACCTGCTTTGACGAATAATGGATAAGTTAATCGAATTACTGGCTGTTGTAAATCTTATCACTGGCTTTCTCATGCTTTTAATTACCAGTCAAAATAGAAAGAATTGGACTCACTGCGTGGGTGGAGAGCTCTTATTTTCCAAATGCCGGCAAGCCCGTCTCTAGTATCGACACAGGCTGCAATATTGTTGTAGGGTAATGTGTAACCCGCCCAGACTTTTTTAAGAAAAGTAGAAATCACATTTGATTTGAAGCATATCCTTCTATCAGCAAGGTTTGCTAAAATGCGGATCTTTAGTCATGCTGGATGTAATTGATCTTATTTCGGCTGAGTTTAAAACGATGATCTCTTAACTACTGTGCGTTGCCGTAATACTCGCATGTGGTAGATCCTAAAAGCTCATTGAAACTCGGCGTGTCCACGTTCCTATCATGTGAATTTTGTGTTATTTCAGGGGTGCCGTCAGCTGATTGTATTTGTTGTCACATCTGTAAAAGAGACGTCAAAGATAATGTGCTATTGATCTTCAGCGATTATCCGGGATTGTTAGGTCAACAGAGCCAGAAGGACTTGCAATGGTGGTGCCGTTATTTCTAGTTTGTCGCTAGTTTGAAACTTGCACTACGATCGATCGCAGCCGAAACGCATGTCAATATGTATCGAAGTTTAAAAAACAACTTATTAACCTGCGATTACGAACGGCATCTGTTGATCTCAGGAGTATTGTTACTTGATACTGTTGAAGAGCGATGTTTCAGAAATTTTTGTATTTACGTGCATCAGTGTTAGCTTGCGTTCGTAGATAGAACGAAGTCAGTTGAGCCAAGTTGTGTGCTCAAAGCGTGGTTTCATGACTGAGAGATTAAGTTCCCCAAATGACCTACTTGAGATACACGATGTTTAGGGCCTACTGAAGAGTACCTAGCCAGCACCTACATCCCTTCGTCCTTTTTTAATGGTGTACTGAACAATTTGTATGTTTTTATGGCAGAGTAATTTGGTATAGATATGCCAATATGAGGATAAGAAAGATATATGAACATGATAAACTTTCAACTTTGGTTTTGACCATCAAACAACAAGAAGTGACGCTCCTGTGAATCAAATACAAAATACCGTCTGAGCGTAATTGCGGGGTCAATTGTCAGGATTTACACAATCCGTTCTACACGGGAGCTATAAAAAGTGGTAACCATTACAAAGGCTGACACAAGCATCGGCCACGATCCGTTTTTTGGCTCCTCGGCATCAACGATCACCGCTAGAGTCTGCTTTAGGGTCGAATGATGCTTTGTCGTTGTATTTTATGCGAGGTCAATCACCAAACGGATTGGTAATTCACGAATCCGTATCGTGATTAGATCGCCAGGTAAGCCGACTTAGATGATAGATAATAATTAATTGTCGGTGTCACAACCAATACATTGATGGTACAATCTCTACTAGCGGTCCGTTCGAGCCTCTCCAGAATACATATCGATTGCCGAACATAATTTTTGGCCTTAGCTTACACTTACAATGTCTTGCGTCAACCTTTACGTTAATCTCGATAAAACTATCACTTTCATGAATTCAAATTTAACTTGAAATGTCACCACCTCACTCGCACATTTTCACCTGAGCAGTGATCAATCTATGTTTTTGCCTCGCGTTGGTGTTGATCAATGCGTACTGTATTCACGAGCTTCCTTAAGACGGAACACTCAAATAGAGGAACCAGTATCAATCACAAAATATGTTGAAATTAGGGACTATCATGGTGATAGATTTGGTTTACTGTATCTTGCCCAAGGCTGCTCATTGACAAAAATCGACCTTCAAACACTTAGCTAAGGTTGGAGCAGAACGCTTGTCAGTGCCCCTAAATATAGGAAGCACAAAAGATTGATGGTATCTTTTGTGCTTCAGGCCGTTATTATGGGCAGTGACGTCGACGTCTTATTAATATCCCTAGATTTGTTTCAAGCAATCAAGACGAATAGAGAACATGATTACACCAAATTCGGTCGGTGATAACATGGTGTCGTCAATCAATATGACTTGCCCGTGGCAATTGTTAAGCCAAATTTTGGCGAATTCTCCTCGTGGTTGTTGGTGCCAGGCTAGAGTTGGCTACAGCTGACCATCCCCAGACAGATAGTCAACTCCGACGTGTGAATAGCGTGGTGAATGACATCTTCAGAGGCACATATATCAAGCAACCATGGAGCCGAAGCGACACGCACGCACTCATCAAGTTTGCCCTAACAAAGGTTGAAATGCACGTCCACATACCTTATATCAATTTTCATCAATACTTCTTAGAATCCCTTGCCAGCTGACATCGGTTCTACGATTTTGTCCCTGACGGTGAATTTCTATGAAGATGATCAACATGCTGGTACTAGCACGGCCACTCTCTGCAGCAGAATTGACAATTTTATCCTAATGAAATTAAGCATCCCGCGCCGAGTATAAGACGCTTTCGCTGAATGCCGAGAAGCACAAAGCGACATACAGATGCCAACGACAGAAATTTCAAGTGAGTTCCATGTGAACGTCAAAGGCCTTTTAAATGCTATTAGACGACATACACAAACAGTATTTGACAAAAAGCTTGGAGACTTTGAGGACAATGTTCATTTTTCATAGAAAGCTCAAAAAATTTTTTAGGTTACACTCCTATACTACTCGGCAAATGCAAAACTGTCTCGTAGGGACTTACTTAAGCCGTAGTGCGTTTGCATAATCTAGCCGGATGCGAAGCATACTGTTAAAGATGAGCGAAATTCTAGAGATCTGTCTCGCAAGAAACCCCTAACATTTTGCTCTGAATCGGCATTCCAATTTAATTTGCTCATGAGACCTCAAGCGAGACAATTTGATTGTGCATCTCTATTATCACGCTAGAAAGACGAACGACAACCGCGACGGAAGAACGCTGAGATTATTCGAGATAGTCGACGCATCTTTATGGCATAATAAGGACGCAAGCCCCCTCCCTCGGCTCTGTCGATGATAATCGAGAAGCCCATTTCACCGTGGGGCGGATCTTGGGGCGGTTTTTTTGCCATAGTAGAGTCAGAGACTGCCATCACTTCGCGATCTCTTGATAAATTGAGGTTCTATTCAATACATATTTTACTGGTGCCGTTTGACAATTATGATACGGCAAACCTTCTGGATATGTTTCTTGGCAAAAGACATGATCGTGCAGCTCAGCGCTCTTAATACTAGTTGTAAGACCTGGCCTTGTACCAAGCTTAGATTCACCCGGTCGCTGTCCTGGCAGGCCCATGGGTATGAGCAGGGCAATTTACGGAGATTCATGTTGGGTCGGCGCCCGCCGCGATGTTATATTCCATACTACAATGTATCAAGCGATAGGCGACGCACAAGCCCGACGTCTGTTTCATTCAAGCTGATTCAAATAGCCTAAAATGGGTGACCAGCCAACTTCACCCAGCGATCGAGTTGATACCAGGAGACATAGGTACAGTCCTCATGAAAGGGGTCACTTTACTGTTGTTGATCCAGCTGCAAGCGGTACTTCTAGAAAACCATGACCTGCACGGTCAGCAAGTGCTCACAAGGTAAGATGGTTCTGCTCACTGATGAACTATAGGCTTAACTACATAAGTGGTTAAGTGCTGCACCGCGGCGAGTTAAGCGTTTTGCTGGATCCGAGTCAATAAAAATTCATATTTCGACGTAACGTAGCTCAGTCGTTGATTGTTGCTGTGGTTATTGAGTTTGCGCTTGCAAACGAGGATGAATAGATTTATCTTTCTGAACTAATCTCAGATTGATTGTAATGGGTCGGACATCGTCGTGAGGAGTACCTCCGCTTCGTGAAATTGGTTTGATGCGCGTAACTCATGCAGAGGGGAGGCTGAATGTTGGCGGTGTACAAGCCTCGGGAAGAAGCCGTTAAAGAGCCGTGTAGTCTGCGGGAAAGGCATGTAGCAGTGACAATCGCGACTATAGTGTGCATACATACTACACATTGTTTCTCGAGTAGGGAGCCTCCAGGGCATCAAGTGATTGTGCCAACGATACAACAATCGATGGTTGCGGAGTTCAAATATACATTAGTCGATGGTAAGACAAGCGTGGTAACGACGAAGCTTATTCTTTTGGGCCAGTGTACATAAAACACAAAGCTTTAATTGATCACATAATGAATCTTGATGCTGTCGCTATGGCAACCATCCTATACTATACCATCAGTTTTCGACTGGTAATGACCATCTTCGGACATCTCTTGAAAACCCATGGGGCACATG